CAAAGCCACTCCCCACCCACCCCTAACGACCCGAGCCAGTGCGTATGTGTGACGAACAAAGTGTCAGCAACATATACGTCATAATGCTGGAATGTTGACTACTTCTTTTCCAACTCGGCATGATATCTCCCCCACTCTACTATACAGTTTATTCTCCGCAGTAGTAGTCTTATTTGGCAACCGGTGACTCCCCAAAATGTCCGCAAACCGGGTATCCGTTTCGAAGGGATACATCTCGAATAAACCTCAATTCTATATCAATGGTATCGTGCGTATATATTCTCCACGCCCTGGTAGTGAGGCACTGAATCAGGTTTCTTTTCCGTTCCAAAGNGGCACATAGCTTTTGAAATGGATATACTGATTATTCCACGATAGCTTCCTGTAGATGGTATGTAGGATAGTTCCGTCTGATCGACGGCTTGGTAGAACGTCCAGAAATGAGATCTGCTCATGCTCTTCGTTCTCCAGACTAAGAAGCTTGATATGAATTGTGATGTATTAGCCTGTAGGTGAATTACCGACCTCGACCAATGTGTAATGATGGTATATTCGAACAATTCTTCAAATAATAGACTGTCTGCTGGCGTGAGAGCCACTTGTCAACTGCAGGTGAAAGTCATCCGCCATATCAGGTTATTGTTGTAGGTGTATGATATTCCCTGACACGGAAATAAACATACTAGGTCTAAATTTATTTAACCCACAACCATTTACGAGAGGTAAGCTTGGATTAATGCTACCCCAACATATAATTGGCCAGATAATCTAAGAATTGTTCCTAAGACCCGAGGCCTGAAGGATGGTCGGGAAAAATCAATAACAACTATACCACACCACTGGGCATCATTGGCCAAGTTAAAATGCAGTGTAATCCTGGTAGTACTACCACGGTAAAATAATCATATCATGAGGATATGTGTATCACGAAAGTGAAAACTCATAACATTGAGGCGATCAGGAGTAAAATACAGTGTTTGCAATCTGATGAGTGCCGAGAAAACGCATTTGTCAAACTACACTTCCAAATCGGATCTATGTTCAAGTGATCATTTTTGAGGATTGGCATTTTTATTTTTCTCCTCTCAGCGACTTTGACCATCATTCCAGTTGTAGTATTCGGAATAGGAATCGGAATCGAATAACACGAACTGGGATTCGGACTGAAAACCGACTGAATAGCGCAAAGTCAGGTGGAAGGAAGGCAAGATATGGATAAAGTTAATTCTATTCGAAAACCATGCAAATAAATATCTCAAGTATTAAACAATCATTGGTTAATTCCTCGAAGTCCAATCGACAACGATCTGGTTCATTGGGTGGCCTTCTTGCATTCCGCTAATCCGATTGATTCTACTTGAGACCATGAAATTGATCGGGAAATCCGTTTCTTGATTGACTACGTGGAAGCTGTACCGCGGTGCATGCATGCACGTTGCACGATCACCATACCAACTCACGCACTACCGAAAACCCGAGGGTCTGTAAGCGACTACTAGTCGTTTTTCCACAAATATCAGTCACAAGCACTGAGTACAGAGTATGAAAAGATTGTTTGTTGCAAAAAAAGTCCGAATTTAAAAAACCTAGAAGGAGCCAAATATTTTTATACCACCCACCTCGAAAACAACAAAAAGGGAAACACCTACTCAAAGCAACGTGTCCAAAAATCCTAGACGGAAAAGTGTGTTTCCTGTTTCCAGGACAACAGCAAACTGCTAAATAGTTTTATTCGAAACTGGATTCACACCGAAAACGATATTACAGTTATTCTATTCATGTATTAATTACTGGAAGGTTTTTATTGACCGATAAAATAATAATAGAACTATTGCGGAAATAAAACCAACACACCATGTACATATGTGTTCGACGTAGCTGAAAACGAGCGAGTATAACGGACTCAACACAGCGTTCAGGACTGACAAAACAAATCAGTTTCGAGAAAAATGCATGTTGATCGGTCGTGCTTGCGTATTCGAAATCCGGCAAAAGTGAGACGAGGTGCTACCTAATGGGAAGCGCGAGATAGTTTCCAACTTGGCCGGATACACATCATCCGCGAATTGAACCGAACAAATTCACCTCCTCAATCCACACAATTATACGGTTCTTTTACCCGTTTNAATTAATTTATACGTCGGTAAAACAAATTGCCACGACGTCGATAACAAAAACGCAAACGAGAGATACATGAGAAACAAATGGAGCACCAGATAGGTTTAAACAAAATACGATGGCACCGCCAAATCGAATAATGTTGAGGCAACGGCTATTGTGAGATTAAACTGGACTACAGAGTGGAGTGAAATCCGACTAACTGGACTACAAAACTCATATGCCTAATATGAACATATTGAGTAGGCCGGAACGCGTCTGAGAATGTCTGCACATGGCAGATTCGTTGGGTTTGGGAAAAGGGCGACGGTCGTGTAGGCGAACAAGAACAGTAACACTGTTGCCATGGTAACAAAAGATTTGTCGCTTGCACGTNTCATCATCATCATTATCATAGCCGTTATCACCGCACTGGCAGGTACATGCTCACATGTTAATCGATTTGAGGGAAGACAACTATCGACTACCACAGACACCAAGAAGACCAAAAAAAGTTAAACATGGAGAGGAGTGGAAAACGGACAAGGCGGATTGTGACCACGACTGCTCGTCTGGCGAGCACCTGTTCATACCCAACCCCCGTTCTAATTGAAATTTCAGCACCCCTTCCTTTGATTGGTTTACTGCAATTCAGACTGGCATAGCAACAGTTATTTCCGTTTTCCTTCTCCTCCTGGGATTACTGAACTGAAAAACCGGACACCAGGGTTGATTTACAGTAATTTTATCCTTAGTAGTGTAGTGAATGTCTGAACAAACTTTCCCCCAAAACAAACGGTTTCGCGGTCCTCCCGTTTTGCTGAGGATAGATGAATCTACCAGGAAAAAATAAGCATAGAATTATCGAAATGATTATTTGAGCTTGGTTTATCACGAATCGACTCCATAAGATCAAAAACAGGTCCACGTGGAATAATTCACATCGGGAGTACCAGTGTAAAAGTCACTTGGCAATAGACTGCCGGATACGCATATCTTGTAAGCGGCACGGATCGCGAAACCGGTCGTGTGATTCTGGGACATTTTTTCCAAGCCTTCATATTCTAACAAAACAACAGAGTGGCGAACAACCTCGTTTTCAGAGATTCGTATTCATGCTAATTCATCTCAATACATATCACTACTTGGGAATAAAATTATTTTGGGAAAATAAAATCACAGGTTACTGGAAACGATTTCATCATGAGACTGGAAATCGGGTTCACGACGATCACATATTCGCTTGTCCACTCATTCGATCCTCGAGATTACTCGTGCTACGCTGTGATAGTGGTGAACCCGATTTCCGGTCTCACGATGAAATCGTTTCTGGTAATCTGTGATTTTATTTTCCCATGATAATTTTATTCCTATATATATCGAAATGTATTGGCATGAATACGAATCTCTGAAAACGAGCTTGTTCGCCGCTCTATTGTTTTGTTTGAAATGTGGTCTGTGGGACCACTACGACAATTGAATCCGACCAAAGACCCCATCGATAATATTCTGCTTATGATATATATATGCTTTATAGAGCAATGCTCATTGTTTTTACCTTTCAATATTGAATCATTTGGAACGTTGACATCTTTCGTTGGGTTGAACGGGGGGGGGGGGGGACTTTCGTTGGTGAAAAATGTGTCGAGGCGGACAAACAATACTGGTCACCTGCGTCGCCCTACTTGAACCTGATCAGCAGTGCGCACTACTCTTTTGTCCCGGGGGGTGGGTGGATGAACATTCCGCAGACCAGCGCTGCCGAATTCGCGCATTTCTTTGTGTTCCCTAGCAGTAGTGCATTAATGACAGCACTCTTCCCGAAAACCGACTGTATCATAATCAATTTAAATTTAAAAAAATGTTCGAATAAACGACAAATTGTGCAATATACATCACACTCAGGCTGGAAACTTAAATTTCAAGCAGTGGTGATTCAAACAGTCCTTCTTGAAAAAAAATTTCACGAGACAAAAGCGATGCGTATACGGAATGCAAAACCTTACCAATAATGTGTCACGTCCGACCACACGAACTTCCTGAAACCCGGACCCGGCGGCCACAATGGCACGACTGGGCAGCAAACGTGCTGCATATGGATACTCGCCCGATTCTTGGGCTGGGTTCTTGACCCACGGTGTCCCGGAAATCGGTATCACCTCTGCCGGTCCGTGTGGATCACAGCAAGTGCATCGATGCGGTTCCGAGACGGGACTAGAGAAGTAACAATCCACGGATTCCCGTACACTGGATGCATCGAGTATACAAGCGTTCTTTGGTTGCCCGGTAATTGAGTTCATTCTACGCAAGTCCCATATCTATGAAAATCAAGAGAAGGATAGACATGAAGGGGGTGAACAATCAAATTTTCAAATATTTTCCCCACACAATTTCATAACTGAAGACTGACTGTCAAAAAAAACGGAAAAAAACACTGATGGTGTACATTCATTCTGAGGACCAGAATGGCATTCGGTCGCTCAATATACAATCCTACATAATAATAATGCAGAGAAAACTTTATCAGATTGGCGCGAAGGATCTGCCTTTTGGATATGATTATGTTGACTGAGGCCAGAAGAAACGATTTGTTTCTTTCCCAATAAACCTTGGCTGTTATATGTAGTAATCCGTTTGTGCAATGGCAATTGAGACTATTCAATAAATTAAGCTATATATTTCGGTAACACCATTGAAACAGCTCATTTTTAGTGTACACATTCCACTGTATAATAACTCTCTCATGAAGACCTTTAGAATTAACTTCCCTGAGAGACGATAATTACCGAGAAAAGTAGCAGTTGGAGGAAGGTCACTTTAAATCGTATCGTGGTCCTGACAACAGTATACGCGGGAATTCTGAACAGAGAACTCAGCCGTGTGATTCGCGTTACAGTTCCCGGGGTGGGACGTCCGGGACAGGTCAGTTATTGATTTGCACTGAGTGATGTGGCTGTGTTATAGACTGTAAGGTACTTGCACGTTTCCTCACCAACATATTCTATGACTCTACCTTGTTTATCCCATGAGCATTGAACTCCTATCACTTGCTGTATCACTGATCAAATAAACGGGCAGCCGAAGATTAACCGAAACCGACAGATGTGCAAAAGTGAACTGAACAAAACACCCTCATCCAATCATCATTTTATGGATGACTCAGAAAACTGAGTGTGAGATGATTTCACTCAATCACAGTTGTCATCAGAGATGATCATTATTTTTATATTCTAGTTTACTCCCTCACTTTTCTATCTTTGCACCTTTCAAAAGTTGTTGCAAGATTGGCAGGAACCCGTTCCTGCACTTTAGTTGGGTAATGATACCCA